CCGGGCGGTGCCCGGGGTGCCCGCAGCTCCGGGAGCGCACGGTGCACCATGGGAGAGCCGTGGGAGGTGGTGTGGAGCACGGGGAGCCGTAGGGTCATCAGTTGCGTTCGTGCTTGGCCCCTGGAAGCTGTGGGCTCTGTAGGGTAGTTAAGTGCTCTGGGGACCGTTTGAAATGCTGTTGTGGATGTGGAGCGTGTTCCACGGCAGCTACCAGAGCAGATTATTCCTTTGTATGGCAGATAGCTCCGGTGTGAGCTGGGCCAGTCACTCCAGTGCAGTAGTTGGCAGATGTCTGGCCTCTCCGTAGCTTTTAATTTTCCCTTTTGCAGTAGTCTCTTGATGCTTTTGAAGACCTTGTCCATGGATTTCCCCTCATCTGTGTTAGCTCAGTGTGCTTTTTTTTTTGTTGTTGGGGTTTTGTGGGTCAATGGTCTTAGTTTTTAACTCTGAATCTATACAGGCTTACAGGCCTAGAGTAATATTTTGAGTTACCTACTAATGTATACTAGCAAAGCATTCAAAACATGTAAATCCTAGTCTAGACAAGGCCTTGGCTTTGCACTTTCATTCATGTTATCCTGCCTATTTGGAACAGTCTTATGCTGCTTACTATGCCCCCAAGTACCTCCTTTATCCTTTTTCAAATCCCTCCTTAACTCTCATTTCTTCCAGGCATTCTTCCTGCTTTTGTTTGCTGAACAATAATCCCCCTGCAGCACTCTAACAGTTTTTATGCCTTGCACTCCTCTTGTTTGTCACATTTACTTCACTGTGTAGATTCCTGAGGTGACAGACTTGACTTTGTGAAGGCAGGAGAAACTGAGTAAACTTAAATCACTATATCCATGCTGTTCAGTACTGTAGATGAAGTGATAGAAAAGTCTTCATCTGTAAAATGTACTAATCCACAAAATATTCAAGCGAGAACTTGGAATTCTGGAAGGTGAATTAGATATTTGAGAACTGCTTCTATTTTAGGCCCTGTGGGACAAAATGCTTGAACAGTTCATGCTTTTGTAGGGTAAGCAGTTATGGATAGAAGATTTGCTTATTAGGATAAACACAAAACTTCAGAGATGGTGAAATCTTCAGTATGGAGTTTCCTACCCGATTGTGTTAGTTTGCGTCATTAGCAGTTTTAACTAATTCTGGTTTAAATGCTGATACATATTTCTTGGTTTGCTTTGACCTCTTTTTTGTTCATTAAAAAGTACTACTCATCAAGCCCTTTGCAACACTTTGAATGCTTTCAACGTGGTTAAATTAATGCTTTTTAAAATTGCAAGGGAGTCTTCCTCTGTGGTTTTTGTTTTATGGGTACTGTTTGTCTTCTGTATTACTCTAAATATGTTTTAATAAATGACCTTAATAATATTCCTGGTTCTCCTAGCTAGTGTGCTTTGGCTGTAAGAGAGAGCTGCCATAGCATGGGTTCTTAGCAAGGTAACAAAATGGGAGCCCAGCCCTAGCTCTCCAGATGCCTGGACACAAGAATGAAAGAGAAAGCAGAAGTTCAGCCTTTCATCTCTTTGGGGTTTTTGGTTGTCATCATTCTTTCAAAACAGATGGGAAAGAAAGGAAGCCTTCAAAAATACTTACAGGAGAAACTATATAAAAAAATTAGATAAGCTGTTTCCTTTTAGGGCAGATTTTGAACAAGTGTATCAGGCCTGTAACAAGAAGCTCATTTTAGCTCTCACTCCATATTGTGCTGCTGCTGAGGAATCCTTGTGTACAAGTTCTGTCCTTTCTGTGGGCTGTTAGCTTTCTGTGCTCAGTATTGTGATAATGTTGTGCTTAAAGAGTACAGGCCATTGAGTGCAGGAGTTCTGTCAGTAGACTGAAGAAGAGGCAGTCATGTTAAAGAGGAATTTGACTGATAACTGTTCTTGCTGGCAGTTAATCAACTGTAACTGGTGGCTTTGACCTGAAATCGTTACTCGTGCTTGTGCATCCTAAAATCCAAGTTGCTGAACTCCCACGAATCTGCACTTGCTGCCAAGAATTCTTGAACTCCGGTGTAGTTCCATATTTGCTTTGTACTAGGCTGTATTATTGCATTACAGAGGCTGCTTTGGCAGACCTGGTGAGTCCTAAGCTAGAAAGTTTGTTTGTGTTTCTCTGTGTCTCAAAGGCTTCCCCAAAGTACCTGAGTTGTTAAATTTTGTTTATATATAGTATGAACTTAGCACAGCTGAAGTCAGCCCCTTTAGTATGTAAATATGAGCTTAAGGATGGATTTTGGAAATCAGTTCCTTAGCTGTTTATGTAGAAAGTAAAATCCAGCATAAAAACAGCTTAGGAGCTCTACTGTTGTACTCAGACATCTAACCTGAGTAGATTTCAGTGCAGTAATAATGAGCTTTTGTTCGCAGCAACACAAATACTTTTATTGCCACTGTATCGCATCTCATAATGTCTGAAACTCTTTTTTTCTTTCATTTCTTATTTTTTCTCCCCCCAGACTTAACACAAGGCCAATGTTTGGAGGTGTGAGATCTCGCATTGGGATCCAGCAGAGTCTCCTCAACAGATCCTCTCCTGCTGTCAGTTTCCAGCGGACGTTCGATGCCCGGCAGAAGATAGGGCTCACGGATGCCCGGCACAAACTGGGGGTTAAGGATGCCCGGGAAAAGCTGATTCAGAAGGATGCACGGTTCAAAATCAAAGGGAAGGTGCAGGATGCTCGGGAGATGTTGAATTCCCGTAAGCAGCAAAGTGTTGCTGCTGAAAAGGTGACCAAAGTGGTGGATGCCAGGGAGAAGATCAGCCTGAAAAGGAGCACTCCAGCTGCTATCAGCCCAACTATGGGAACAGTAAATCCAGCTGTGAAAATCACCAAAACTATCCAAGTAGGTGAAGCAAGTGACCTCTGAGCCCCTCAGTTACACTACAGCAGCTCAGTAGGCATGATAAGACATTAGTATGTTCATATGCTTGCTACAGAAGCAACAGTGATTCTGTTCTTTCCAGCCTGATGGGCAGGATGCTGATCCTTTTGTGTGTCCTTGCAGTTTCTTGGAGCTTTACTTAGAATCACACTTTTCATTTTAATTTTCAGTGTAGTTTTGAGCCCCAAAAGACTAAAGCAGTGCTCCTGTCAGCATTAAAGCAGATGTCTTGAGTGGTTGAGGAGTCTCTTTCCCACCTAAATGCAAAGCAAATTATGCAGGGTTTTTGTCATTCTTATACCACCCCTTTTTGCAAGTCTGATGTGGTGGATTGTCCTGTCTAGGTAACTGGTTTATCCAAGTGGTGGGATAGCAGTGTGGAATATGAAGCTGTATCTAAAGAAGATCTAAAATTCAATGAGCCCTTCTACAGTTTATTTATACTTGTCCCTTTTTCAGGAAAGCCCTGGCTTCCA